GGCACGGCGAGCCCCAGAAAGGGGGCAGCACTAAGGAGAAGCCCAAGTGTGGGCACAGAGAGCCTCAGACAGGGGGCAGTATTTTAATTGCCCAAGTCAGGCACGGCGAGCCCCAAAACGGGGGTCGCAGGACTGAGAAGCCCAAGTTGGGCATGGTAAGCCCCAGAAAGGGGACCACCTAATTGAGAGGCCCAAGTTGGGCATGGCAAGCCCCAGGAAGGCCCAAGGGCCATCTTAGGAAGAAGCCCAAGTGTGGGCGTGGAGAGCCCCAGATAGGGGGCAGTGTTATTGCGAGGCCCAAGTTTGGGCGCTGGGAGCCCCGGATAGGGGGTCGCATTGTAGGGGGCCCAAGTTGGGCACCAGAAAGCCCCATGAGGGGGCAGCCCAGGAAGGAAGGACCGGGGAGAACAGTAAGGGGCCAAAACAGGGACCGAATAGAGATAACAGCGATTTCATCTGTGAGGCTTGGGCTGCAGTATTGGGGAGGAAAGGAGCTGCAGACAGCACCCCCAGCGGAGGGGGCAGGACAGGGGCAGCCTCCCGCTAATTAATTAATTATTCAATTAAGATCAAGGCATGGCAGGCAAGACAAGGTGGCCGGTTGCCCAGAGACAGGTGCGTGGGCCACACTGACGGCGGCCCAGCATGACGACCTGTCACAGGCAGTATCTGAAGCCCCAAAGCAATCAGTATAACAGGGAGGATACTTGCTGGGTGGTAGAGCCACATAGACCTGACGATTGAGCTCTGCTTAGTTGAATTTTGAAGCTTGACTACTGGGCTTTGCCCAACTGAATTTGGAACCGATTTGGCCTTGAACAGGATAAATAAATAATAAAAAGGTGCCCATCAGTATGTTTATCCCATATGGGCCATATGTTTTATAGCCATGCTTGGTGTTGGCTGCATTTAATCAACTTCACAGCTGGTTTCCATTACTGACCACATGCTGTTTTTGGCAGCAGTTTAATGACAGACAGTGTATTTAACAAGGTTTCCCTGTATGCAATTATAAGATGAGGGGCTTTTTTTGCCATGCTGATTGGGGGGGAAACCTCATCTTGTATTCAAATAAATACGATTAGTGGTAACAGCCTAGGGAAGGTTTCAGAGACAGACTGAAAAGTTATAGCAGCCTATGAATCCAAACTCAAATGCTGATTTCAAGTGCAAATTGTCTGACAATTAAAGGACCACTTAACTGCCCAAAATCTAGCTCTGGATCCAAATGGATAGCTCAAGTTCAGCTTTATTGCAGTAATGCTAATGGGCATTAATTGCGTGTCAGGTAGATCACAGAAGTCTCAACGCCATAGAATGCCCTTAACTTATGAAGACCTGCCTGTGAAGTGAGCAAAGGTATGTATAAAGAGCAGCACCAGTGTTTGACCATCTGGAGCTTCACCCTGCAATCTTCAGATAGGCAAAAACTCCAACTAATGTTACTGGGTTAGATAGGTTAAAGTCTAGGCAGATATATATAACCACT